ATAGAAAGTGGAATTTTAAACGGTTTCTATTTATAGCTCATTCTACGACCGGTTTTACTATAAAAATTATGCCATCATAGCTACGATGAAGATTTCAATTGGAATTTATAGATTGTTTCCGGTAATACTAAGCAGTTCCACTTTTTTTATTATGAAAATAAAGTATAATTAATTAAAGCAAATTTTGAGTGACAATTTTTAACCAACATTAGACAATATTTTCTTATGATACCTTATTATTAGATAATTGAAGAGACGAACAAGTCGTGCGCCTGGTGGTAAGCGACACGCCCCTGCATGACCGTTGCAATGGCACACAGAGTTTTAAATCGCAAACATGTGTGGTAGTCACCTGCGCCTGTCATCCTGGAACATATGTAAGTTGACAAGTCCCATGCGTCTGTAATTTCACAAGAACCCTTCAAAATCGGATTAAGTAAGCTAACATACTAACATTAAGATAACTTAACAGGACGAAGTTTTTCACAAGGAGCTGTACTACAACCATCACGTCTATCTCTCACCGGGTAGGCACAGTACATGTACCACTCCTGACAAACCTCCTTCTTCCCCTCCACTCCCATCTATCACTTCATATATAACCATGTCTAGATACTTTTAACCAACTGCTGAATAAACAACAACAATAATAAATTTTTACAGAGCTGAAACAAAATATCGAAAATATAATGAAATTCTGTTATTTACTAAATATAATTTTAAACCCAAGAATGCGTGTTTTACAACAATTTCACATAACGTACTTTCACTATGTGGTTTTATGCTACTTGGTACTCTGATCTAGGTCATATAAAAAGGCTACAACGTCCAGAAATACTTGAAATCATGCAAAGTTATGTTCAAACGCACGCAGGAGGCACATAAAGTTCCACCGACAGGAAGTAACTAAAGAATTTAAATAAAAATGTCATTACCTCCATTTCGTTGCAATTTCATTAAACTTTATTACTCTTGTTATCTATGAAATGCTACGTCTAAAAACATTAAAAAACATACTTTAAACTCAATACTTACGATGTATTTGCCGAAAACGTGCAAAATGTGCTAACGTTTCTCTTCCCCTAAAAGATGGGGTATAAAGAACAGTCATCTTGTTTCTTCTAAAGGTAATGTTTACCTCGTTTTCTTAAAATTTCACAACACAATTTTTTTTTTCGCCTTGTGGATTAGAAACATCGTAGAGACATCTCTTTAATCGCTTAAACCAATTGGTCTGTTTTATCCACTCAGAGACTATTATAGTGCTAAACTCTTTAGATTATAACGTCTTAAGGCATCCAGTTCCTCTTCCCCGATATTCTTTTACCCCACCTGACGCTATTGAAATAACCTGTATTGGATTCAGTCTTACTGACAGTTCGACTTGTAGAACAGTTTCTTTTCTTACTTTCTAACATTGACTTTATATGCTTTCTAACCTTAAAATAAACAAAAGGAAATTTTATGTTAATATTGTTGAAATTTTAAACATGACGACAATTCAAACTGTGCTAACGACAACATTGAATCAATTTCTCAACAACGACATCACACGCAAGACCATAAGATCTCCATAGATTGAACAGCAACTGGGAGCGTCTATTTCTGTAATAGTACATTCTGTAACTATTCACAATATATACAACACTAACCTTTCGATTACATATGGTAAATGTGATTGATCAGTACAAACAGAGGCACGTGCCTTTCGAAAACTACGTCAACTTCACTTAGTTTGTTGTTTGGTTATTAATCATTTTTGCTCAAACAGTCTGACAAAAGATGTGAAAGAAAGAAAAGGACGCCTTTTTTCAACAGGATAGATATGGCTAGTAAAGAGTCTTTTTCGTTTCAGATACTGAACCGTGTCAAGTTAAAATAAAAGGTCGTATCACATTCGATACAATATATAGAAAGTGTAATCGTTAAGTGTGCCCTGGCAAAAATTTCGTGAATATATGAGATATCAAAAACCTTTAACAGTCTATACAACCTCAAATGGGATTGGTTGATTCCGCATAAAAGTGAAAGTGTTGAGTCAATCGATTTGGAGAAAAATATAGTAAAATTGAGGAAACACACTGATTACTGTATGGTGTGAAAACACGACTCCTAAAAATTTTCACGATAGAAAAAAAAACTCAAGCTTCGAAATTTACAAGAAAACCGCTGTATTCAATAGGTACATATATCAATGATTTTTTTTATATCAACTGAACTAAATAGAACACGTGTAGTGTACGATATACATGCATGCTACATCCTCATCAATACTTTCCATCAGGTGAGATGGAGGTCAAATGCGCGCTTATTTTTTATAAAAAAAAAGAAAGAAAAACACGTTTTTCAAATGGCTTTAATTTGGTTTGTTAAATATAATATCTGAAATAAAATCAGTGTCCGTGTCCTCGACCCAAGCAAAATGAATCGTATTAATACGGGAAAAATTCGAATTTGAGCGACTGTTAAACTGATATCCTAAATATCTAATAATAAACGAAAAACATTTAAAATCGATCATAACTTTAATAAATAATGTGTCATAGTTTTATCTCCATGGCCATTAGTTACCACTGCGGAACAATATCGCATTTTAACGGTGACCAAACTACTCTGACCTTTAACCGAAACCACCCACACGCTGAACGATATATTAATAGAGAAGTTTCAATTGTCGTTAATAAAGTCTAATGGCATATTGCAAGCTTAATCTGATTCCAAAATAATAAAATCCGACTCTAGAATCTAAGAATCGTCAAAAATAACTCATATAATTGCATTTCAGGATACAAAACCTATCATGCTGCCAAAACAGCTTTTATCCTTTATTTTTATTCATTAAACTTAAACAGTATTGATTTTATCAATCGAAAGTTGTACATCATAGATAATGTACGATAATAATTTTCTTAGAAAATGGAACATTAAAAAATGTGGGGCACGGGAACGTACCCTGACAAACACTTATAACAAAAAATCACAAAATATTAACTATACCACTCTAGTAGAATGAGAAAGGTAGAGAAAGTATCATTATTGTACAAATCAAACGATAAAAGGGCATAAAGGGTGCATTTATGCGACATTCGGCCTTCGCTATGCATGTTGAGATTTAAAAGCCTGCACTTAAGAAAAAAATGCGTCAACTTGAAATTAATTGCTTGCACTTTAGTTATCGCAACCCTAAGATAAGTTTGTATTATTTCATAGGTTACTAAAAATAAATCACGTATGAATTGAAAAATTAAAATTTTTTTAAAAAGTACCACGTGATTATTAAGGTAATATTTTTTTTTACACTTGAAGATCATCGTGAATTATATTACCTTTAGTTTTAAAGTACAGATTTTCAATGTGTCACTGACTCGATGTTAATAAATGTTCGTTCTAATTACAAAAACCGTTGACATTTTAGTGTACAGTTTCAATTACAACAATGTTGAAGCATTTTTTGTAGGAAACTCGCAGTAGGTGGGTGGAAACAGGGTCATGTGGGGCTATAGCTGGGTTATTATGCAAATCTCCGTGACCTACCGTCTCGGCATGTATTATGGATACGTTAATATCCGCGTGATTCTGCCTCTTTTGTTTGGTTTTGTTCAGTACTGTCGCTGTATGAGTTGATGTCACCTTATTATCTTATACAATCAACCATAAATCAAGCTACATACTTATTTTATATTTGCTACTTTATTTACGTTATACGTTTTAGGAAAATTCACTGTATAATTATACAATTATAGTTATACTTAAATATAAGTAATCCAATGCTATTTACAAATTTCTACCTTTAGCAAACAATATAAGGTGCTTACAAAAAAAGCAAAAATATTATAAAAACAAAATTACACAAAATCTAATGAGTAATTAAACAAATAATGCAATAACAAAAGAATAGCCAAATATACAAAAGTCAGTGTGTCATGGCCAGACACGTGATGTCAAAGTGACGTTTGGTCATTTCCCATCTGACTGAATTTTGTACAGAACAAATGAAATTCTGGGTGATTTTGTGACGTATTATTAAAAGTCTCAATGCACGCACCAGGTACGCGAAACTTTATATGTGACAACAATTCTGGACAATCAATATTACCGTTAGCGATCCTCATCAGAAAACTGACGTCATTAATGTCTCGACGTACACGCAGCGGCAAAACGTGGTATATAAAACCCCTTTACTCGTAAATTATTTATAGAACAATTCCAATTTTCGTGAAAGAAATTTTAACAGTTGGTATATCGTTAGTATTAGGCTCACCTCGGTGCATTTTTTTATTTAACGATGTTTAAATCTCTATCGACATGTCAATACTTACTTAACCCTGGTTTACGGGATTGTTACAAATTGGAAATTATACTATTCTTTCGAGTCAAAAATAAATCAATATAAAAAAATAGTATCATTTCCAACTTATTTAACCTTTACGTATATCTGCTTTAAAAGAGTCCGACTAGTTTCCTTTTATACTCCAATTTTATAAAATCGCGTTCAAATTCCGTGAATTCAATAATAGTTAGGCAATAGTTCGATCCCTTGCTGACTCTAGTTGCCCTTTGATTACTAAAAGTAAGTTAGAAAAGATTGACGCAGAGTTCTACTAGTGTAAGCTATACATTTTATGTAAGAATGTTATTTGAGGTTTCAAGTACCTATACATAGTTATAACATATTATTAATCACGCCTTAAGTACGTGTTTTGCTTTGGAAATGAATGTTCACATAATTTTTACTTTTCAATACTTGAGTGATGACGTACTTTGTACCGTTCCACAGGTTGCCTTACTCATTTTTCATATATAGCAATTGAATGTAAAAAAATGCGAATTGGGTATCATTAGGGAAAGCTCTTCAATATCACGATGGATATCTGTACTCGAAATGCAGGATGTTAAAATCAGACGCACTCATTTTGACATCCGGTATCTGAGTTGTAACGTACTTTAGGCGTTTTGAAGGAATTTTTCATTTCATTTTCAGTTTTTTTGTTTGTCAACAGATAGCAGCTGTTGACGTCTGAAGTAGCAGCCAGCAGTTGGCCACTTTCGCTTTCGCCCCGCTCCCCGTACCCCCTCCAAGATTGCTGCCACCATGGGTCGGAAGAAAATACAAATATCCAGGATCACAGACGAACGGAATCGACAGGTGATTTGCTGGAAATTTTGATTTTTTTAATAGCAAAAGCTAAGCTAAGCTTTTAAAAAAAAGGGTCGGCAGACATAAGCACATAAGTCAAAACAATTTCAAATTTTTTTAATATATATTTAGTTGCCCTAGATTGGCATTACAGATGAAAGTGTTGCAACCCTAACTAGCTGTGAACAGGTTCAAGGCAATGGAACGGGAAACTTCCGGTCCACAAAATTTATCAAAAGAAATAAAGTTAAAAGAAAGGGCTGTAACAATAAAAAGGTAAATGTAAAAAAAAGGTACAACAATATAAAACACTTCCTACACTTTACGATGAAGGCACTTACCCCTAAATGGGCCGAGTAACTGAATTACAGATATACGTACATGAAGGCTGTAGACTTATAAATTATTACACATGATTTAGCTTATTTAACGATTATAAACGTAGTAAAGAACCAAAATTAGCGATTATTCGCGTCGGAATTTGAAACAGCTCCGACTGTTGTGGCGGTCGAGCAGGGAGTGACCGTGATACGAAAAGAAAATGAGAAAGTGAAGGAAGATGGAACAATTCAAATTTAAAATTTA